AGCGATATAAAATTGGCTATCGATATCAGACAATCCGTATCTTCTTGACTCATCAACCAAATAAACTTATCACAAAGGTCAAGGGATGATATTCTGGGAAATTTTGAATAAATCATAGATAACATAGAATTCCTAGCAGTCTCGTAAAGGGGACAAACTAATAAAAAATGAATTTCGTCCTCCACAGCAGTTTTATTAAAAGATTGACAATACGTACATTTTCTATCAATCCTAGGAATAGGATTCTTCCCGTATCTACCTGTTTCAATCCTGAGGTTGTGGGCACTGAGACGTAGTTTTGCAAAGTTGGATCTTTTCTTTTTGCTAGGTATCAAGTCTAAGTAATGCTCAAACTTATAAACAGTTTTGAAAGATGCGTATGTACAAAGCTTTTTATTGGAAATAATTTGTTCTTTCAAATTTTCCATAACTTTTGACCTAAAATGAGAAGACACTTTTGATTTCACGATAGTGGAGTTATCGGTTGTATGTATTCTGTAAAGGGTCATCAGGGAACGGGCAATACTGACCCAATTAGAAACACCGGAATCTGCATCATTAATTAACATTTGAAGAGCTCTGTATGCATATCTGGAGGAATCAAGATTTATTAAACGAATATAAAATTTTAAGATATTAATGTGTCTATGTTCAAGCAACGAACAACGTCCCAACTCCGCATAAACCCCAAGAGACGTTGTAGATCCTTTAACACCTAGGGTTGACTTGCAAGCCATAAGATGAATTTTTTCCGGGCATTCCCATGTACCAAATCCCCATACGTCAGTGGCATAATTTAGAATAGGAAGTATTGTACTGTCAAATAAAAATAGAAACAGTCCTGGGTTGAAACCATCCCATTCGTTGCTTTTGGATAAGAGAGCAAAGTAAGATTTTTGAGCTTTTTGCTTAATTATATCAACATGAGCACTGTAGGAACCATTAGATTTAAAAGTAACTCCAAGGTATTTGTACTCATTGCATTCTTTGATCTCTTTACCACCAAATTTCCAAATTTTGCATGCCTTAGATCTTTTCTTGTTTTTTCTTATAACCATTATCTTGGTTTTGGAAGTATTTATCTCCATATTAATGGACAAGCAGAACTGGTTTAGCTCGTTCAACTGGGATTGCAGATCATCAGCAGAATTAGCTAATAAAACTAAGTCATCAGCATATAAAAGGGTGCAGATATTTCCATCACCCAATCTGACACCGGTAGACACAGCATTAATCTTTGAGTCTAAGTCATTAAGAAACAAAGTGAACAGCAACGGACTTAACAAACAACCTTGCCTAACACCACGATGGCAGGAAAATAGATTAGTTAGGCTGTCTTGGCCCCTTACACAGGACTTAACTTTTGCATACAGGGAATTAATGACATCTAACACTTTACCATTAATACCATAAGACAACAGTGTATCAATAAGAATTTTGTAGTCAACGGAATCAAAAACTTTCTTAAAATCCACAAAGCATAAATAAAGAGTTTTCTTACTAGCAAATGTGTTCTCAATTAAAGCATGAAGCGTAAAAATGTGATCGGAGGTTCGATATGATTTTCTATAAGCAATTTGATTCTCCTTGAGAATGTTAAACTCTTCCACTGTCTGATTCAGGCGGTTTAGAAGAATACCCAAGAAAAGCTTTCCGAAAATGCTAAGCAAGGTAATCCCTCTATAGTTGTCAAGATATTTTGTGTCACCACCTTTAAAAAGCAAAACAATGACACCTACAGACCATTCTTCTGGGAAGTCACCAGAATCTAGAATTTTATTAAAAAGTTTAACAAAGAGAGTAAAATAACGGTTAATTTAATAGAACGCCATTTGAGTGTTTTCAAAAGCCCGGTCATGCCTCTTGTCCCACTATTGTTTACAAAGAAAGAAGAACAGCTTGCTTACAAAACTCTTCTATTGTTCTGATGCGGCACATAGCGGAAAAGTTGGATAAATCCAACTTTGCCGCATCGTGACGCATTGCCCAAAAAACGCGATGCGCGCGCAATTCGTCAAAAAACGCGAACCTTATTTGGGCAGCGGCAAAAAAAACGCGTCTAGTGTGAATTGAGCTTTAGGGTAAGCAAGCATTATTTAAGTCACTCGTATTTTGTAAGATTACTATTTCGACCAAATAAGCTTTTGGTAGGGGTACCAGGTATTTTGGCGTGATTGAGTGATCGGCGTATTTTCAATGTGTGAATTCGTGAAACAAATTTTATTATGCGTGAAAGCGTGAATAGACATTCGCGCGTGACCTGTGAATTAGCATTACTCGTGGCGCTGCAAGCGAATTTCAAAATGGAGTGCTTTCGTTTTTACAAGGAGAAAGTCTTGGTTTCCGGTACCAGGTCAGGTAAATGTCTCCATTTTTCAGAGATTCCAATGCCGATGGTTCTGCCAACAAGAAATTACTATTATTAGATAGTTATTAAAAAACAGAGAACTTCTAGGGGGACGTGGTCTTGAAATTAAGATTCCAATACCGTAACAGCGTGACTTGCAATTATTTCAAGCATAACTGCGTGATTCAGCATGGATACCCGGTACCCCCTTGGTACCATAAAATTTGAAAATAGCACGAATCAGCGGTAACATATCATACTAAAGTATTTTCCGTGCAACACTCTTCATAATTTTGTGGTATTAAGGCTTTTTGTGAAGTTATTTAATTCTCAAAATTAACAAAAATGTGTCTCTTGAAATTATGCTAAAGTCCGCAAAAAATTTGTATCCAGATCAGTAGCGTAACGCAGGTTAGGGAACCTCAGTTCAATAACTAGGGCAGTGAAGCAAACGTTTTGAAGACTGCATTTTCAAAAGTTCTTCATCTGAAGCTTTTCATAAGTCCGGAATGAATAACAGGTTCCCTTCCCTGTTATTTTCATATGTTTTTGCATGAATTAACATATCAATTTGTATGTTATCGTCCATTAGCGTTGAGGATTACAAAGGCCAACAAAGAATGAAGAAACCTCTAAGAATTAATGCGGATAGTAAGATAGGCACAAAGCCTACCAAATCTGAATACCTGATTACAGGTCATCCAAAGAGGAGATATGAAGTTGTAATCTCGAAACCACCAAATCGTAATGATTTAGAAAAAATCTACACTCTTTTTTCATAAGAACCAGTAAATTTAAGTTCAGGCTGACTGTTCTTAATTTTCTTGAAAATCTGTGGCTGGATTGTTCTTAGTTTGTTCTTAAGTTAAGCAGTGCAATTGCTAGCTTTTTCGCTCTAAGGAGGTGTTCAGGCCTCATTTGCAAACAAAGTGGGTGAGACAGCCTTAATTTGCTGACAAATTTGAATATTCACCCACACATCGCTAAAAATCCTCGATTTTAAGAAAAAACGTTGTTTAAAATTGCATTTTGCAGAAGCTCAGCCTCAGCTTGTGTTTTAATTTGTTCTTAACTTTTGACCAGTTTTGAGGCTCGTGTTCTTATAAAATTTTTCTTGTAAAAAAATGATTTTAAATCACTTGTGGTTATGATAGATGAAGGATAAACTGGGAATTCTAATGCAGCACAGTGAAAGGAAAGGTTATATAGCAGAGAATTAAAGATCTAAAAAATGAGACAACATCATCATTTTTATACTATATCTTAATTTCATGTTATTTCAAGTTATTTTAGTAGGATTGAGGTTTATCTGACACTCTCATAAGAGAAAGAAAGTCTATTCAGTTATATCGATACGTTTCAGGAAATTCCTGTAAAGTTTCCATTAGATGTGCGGCAAAAACCACATAGAAAAATTTCTGCCAAAATTTGTTGAAGAGTTTAAGACTAGTTTCTTACTGACTGCCTGAAAAATCTTTCTCGTTTACATATATTGTTTAAGTTATTCATGATTTCTTACGATACCATATGGTGCAAAAGGCTTTCTCTACGCTACACGATACCTACTAAATTCACTATTATCTTATATAGAAAAATAGAACCTTTGTAATCCTCCTCGCTTCTATATCTACAAAAGAACAGAAAGAACGTCTATGGCCTTTTCATTCCAAATCATTTGCTTTTTACCTGATTAGTATTCCTATTGATTGTTTCCTCGAAGTTTCAAAAATATTTTTCTTCACAAATAATAGACAAAATATTATCTTTGAAACCGCAAGCTATACATTAAGTACCAAAAAAATTACTAAAAGCTCCCAAAAGTCAGAGCCTTTCGAATAAAAAGTATTTAAGAGGGAAATTACAGCATAAGATTCCCACAGAAATGAAGGAATCATTAGCTATTGCCAAATTTAAAACTCGGATAAAAACGGAAGGGAGATGAATGTAGCTGTAATTTATCTAGGTGCTTCGTAGTTCAGGTTGGATTCCTTGACTAGAAGAAGAAGACAAAAGTATTGGTGGTGTGAACGTCAAAACATTAAACTATCTGATGCTACATAGCGCTTTCAATTTTCAATCAACTAATCGTATTCCTGTTATTACTAATTTCGGCTCATTCTTATAAAGAAGACCTAAATTAGCTTTTTTATATAGCTACATTCTTTTTTTCTACTGTAAATAAATTCGTTCGGTCGCAGTACGCCTGCGAACACGAAGATTTCAGTACAGATGGGCGATAGACTCTTTCACAAGGTATCTGGGCACACACCGCCACAAACATTCTAGCAGTTGTAGTCACTTCCAGAGTTCATTACCAATGGAATGAAGCATGACAAATCATCTTAATTAGATAAGTTTCTTTTGGAGATGCAACTTTTCTTCCTTTTCCCGAAGGCGATTGAAAGAAGAATACGTCAATTGAATGTCAGTAGTATCATTCTTCCTTTGGAAACATCAGCAAAGACAATTGAGGCCAAAGAGTACAAGTAAGTATTGACAATTGATCATATAGGTGCAAGCTAGAGAGCAAAATGAGTTGAAGAAGGCTGAAGAGAAGTGAGCTGACGTAGGGTGAAAGGGAATGAAGAGGCTAGAGCCCAGAAGTAGTTGAAGAATCTAAGAAGTCGACCGGCAGTCTGGTCCATTGCCGATGTTTGGCAATATACCTTTTTCAGTGCAATCAAATACTGCTTTCAAAAAGAGTCCTTTTCATTTAGAATTAATTAAAATAAGCTTCATCCGTACGGTTGATTGACAATCCATTTAAAATCCAGTGCGCCAAAAAAGGCAAACGTTTTTCTATCAGCTTCTGTTCTCACTTTGACTGTATAAGATGAGAGCTTTTGCCTCATGTATCCTTGTTATGTTTAAGTCGCCCAAACTTGTTTTCTAGCGGTGGGGAGGGGTGTAAAGAATCATTTGATGACGCAACCGGCATGTCTGCGGTATCTGTTTTTCAAGCGGGGAGAAATGGACTGTATTCGGACTATGATTTGGTAATTTCATGCAGTACGATTTTAGGCCGGTTTTGGATTTATAGTCGCAAAGCATGCCGGTCGCTCAAGAGCATCTAAACACATAGGTCGGGATTCGTTTATCTGGACTTCGTTAAATATGTCCATCTTCAAGGTCGTGCTTTCTTAGCCTGTTATTGATATCCTAAATGGAACGCACAGACCCAAGGGAGCAAAATGATTCTTATAACATAGCAAAAAACCCTTAAAGTGCTTTCCTCGATTCGCCATCACAAGGCATATATTTTAACATTCACATCAATAACTTTTTTTTATCAGCGCTTAACTTAAATTCATTGCCGATAAAAAATACTTATGGGAAATATCTTTTAGAGCTGTTGTCATATCTGGTGGACCTAAAAGTATTAATGACCCTTCCTCTACACAATGTGATGCTGAAGTTTTCAAAATTGGAGTTCCGGTGCTTGGAATCTGTTATGGAATGCAGGTTGGTTATTTCACTATCGTATGTACAACCAAGACCTATGCAAAGTGTTAATCAACCAAGGAAGAATGAGATAAAATATTTCATTGATATGTGACAATAAAACAATCTTAAAATATTTTGAAGAAGTATCACAGTTTACGTTTAATGGACCTAAGTTATTCAAAGTTCTTCTCATTTTTACCTATTTGTAAAACTTTGATCATCATCGTGCTTGTGCAAACTCTCCTTAATGCAAATCATTGAAAATATGTTGTGATGTGAATGAAATATGACCATTGGAAAGAATGACGTTGGCTAAGGAATGACATAATTATGGCTAAGTTTATCAAGTGTAGAACAGATACCAGATCACGGTGAGTGGACAGAAACCAGAGCTCATCTCAGAAATTAATGATATCAGCGATTTTTGCATACTAAGAGGCAATTCAAGATGCATAGAGCGGGGTGAAAAGCGTCTGGCTACCACTAGCGCGGGCTTGATGCCGTGGCCCCCTTAGACCCTTCCCCTAAAACCGTCACTGCATTGGGAGTTACTTTCCTTGATTATTGAATGATTGCGAGAAAATTTTTCGATATATTATCTGGCAGCGTCGCTTTTTGTTATAATCTCTTCTGCTTGTTTCATTGATTTCTCCATAATAACTATTGCTCTGCTTTCCAGGCCATGAATGTCTTACTTGGTGGTAAAGTTGCTGAAGGAAAAGTAAGGGAAGATGGACAATTTAAAATCAAGGTTAACAGTAGTTCTGACTTGTTCAGATGAATCTATACTGTGAATCTCAACTTTCTATGATATGGCGTTCTCTTTTAATGGTCAATGGTACAATTAGGGGTCTCGACCAAAGAACCTCAATCTAAATATAGAAATTTGGGGCAAGATATGATTTGGGTCTATATCACATTTTTGTCAGCGTATCAAACTGCATTTGTATTGTGATTCTCAACTTTCTATGATCTGGCGTTCTCTATTTGTGGTCAATGGTACAGTTAGTAGTCTAGACCATAGTTCCCCAGTCTAAAAATATAAATTAGGGCAAGAGTATGATTTGGCTCTATATCACATCTTTTTCAGCGTATCAAACTTGTATTTTTCTAAACTTTTGGTGCTTGTGTCACAATTTGCACAATCCTGCTGTATTTCTGCATTAATCTTCTGTACTAAAAACAAGTACCGAAAAAATGAATTTTCAGGCAAGCCCAGTTTATCATAGGCTATTTTTGTAGTATTTATTTGCAGAAAGTGGAGTAACCAGGGTTGGATGATTGGAGGGGTAAAGAAACTTTTTGCAGACTAGACCCTTCAGAATTTGGGAAACGCCCCATTTTGTAAATGCGTTTTTAAAAGCTATGCCTTTTTTACGTGGCAATGGTTTGCTAATCAGACACAATAACCCTCATATCTACCTTTTTGTGGCTGACCCCATTCTACAACTGTCCATCGTCTTCACATTTCCCCTAATCGTTATATTCTGAATTGTATAAGGCGAGGAAGCTCCATGTGTAAAAACTGATTTTCAAAAGTTGTAAGTAAAAAACTGAAAAAAGTTAAGTGTTCAAAAGTTTCGAAATAAGTCTGCTTTCCTTAGAGCAAAATTTGCAGCATCCCCGACAAGCATTTCAGAGTCTAGCTTTTTTTAGGATTGAAGCGTTTGAGCATTTTAGTTTCTATTTTATCGGGAATGTCTAAAGAACATGAAAGACGTTTCTTTATAAACATTAAAACGAGAGGAAATTGTAAAGGTACTGTAGAGGTATAGACGAAGGTCCCAACATTTTTGTGACCACATCATTTATATAAGTTTAAAATACATTTCAGAATATTTTTATAGTCGTTTGCTTGCAGTCTTCTAAAACATTTTAATTTTATCTGAAATTTTAACTGCAAATAAATACTTTCTGCAAATAAATACATTTCAGAATATTTTTTATAGTCGTTTGCTTGCAGTCTTCTAAAACATTTTAATTTTGTCTGAAATTTTAACTGCCCCCTTCCCCCCCTGAGGTACTAACATTATTGCAGATTTGCTCTTTTCTAAGAAGCTAACTTTCTGAGCATTAGGGAGGTGGCTGCCATTACGCTACTGTTTGCATACATGCTTTGAGTTTTGTCTGTAAGGGAAACAGGATGAATTAATTGATATGTGATGGTAAGCTGATAATTTTTTATAATACATCTTATTTCAAGTGGACTGCAAGAACGACAAGAAGTATTATTGACGCATTATGAAGAGGCAAGCGACATAGCTCCTGATTTTAAAGTAACTGCAACAAGTGGTGATATTATTGCTGGTATGATAACAGCTGTCCCTTTTCTCTTATGAATCAGTGCTGATATCTCTCTTTGGTCATAGTGCTGGAGACATTATAATTATTCTCTTGTGCCAAATACGTGGTCTTAACTTATGAAGAGCACTTCCTAGTGCGATGGCCCAACTAAAGAAGACAGCAAAGTTTAGCTTGCATCAGCTCATGTGATATTACACACATCATTCTGTACATATTTAAAGGATTGAACTTATTTAAACTTCTTTACAAATACTGCTACGTTGTCGCGCTGCGATGAGCCATTGATAGAAATATAGTCTGAATTTTGACATTGCAAGTAATGTCACGTATGAACTTTGGTACAACAATGATAAAAAATCTTCTACAAGATTGATTTTGCTTGATGATCATATATTGGCTTTCGTTGCCATGTGTATGCAAGGAGTTAATGAGAACACCCTTATCTTATCTTGTTAGCTATTGAGAATCAATCGAAGAAATTATATGGCGTCCAGTTTCACCCTGAAGCAGACCTAACTGAAAATGGAGAGTCAATAATGCGAAACTTCTTATTCAGAGTAAGTAGATTGTAGCAACATTACGAGCTTAATCCTATTGAAGCTTCATGATTATTGTACCAGAATGTAATGTGATTGTCCAAAAGTATTTCATTGAGAGGACTTTCACTTACCGAAATCGAAAATAACATTATTAAGATTGGTTCCTATACAACCCTTTAGTAGAAGAAAAAAGAATAGCCCAATCATGTATCTATGGATGTGTCCAAGTATCGATGAACAACTGATTCATATATCATTCTATCCAATGCATTAAAAGCTAATCTTGAATAAAAGAACATATTACGCAGCATAACCATGGCCTATGAACTTTTATTTTTTTGCATCTGTCTCTTAACGCTAGATTGCAGGCTGCCATGAAGATTTAAAATTTACTAGCACAGAAGACACATGCATGGAGGAGATCAAGAGAGAAGTTGGACCAGTGAACAAAGTTCTTGTGAGTCGTACATCCCCATTTGATGTATTACATGTCAACTGCGCTTAAAATGGCATCGTTATAGCACTAAACTTTTGAATAAAGAGCCCTCTGCTATCACTATTTCTTTTAGTTAAAATATCAAGACTGGAGTGGTGTGTGTCAAAATATGTAAAATTTATATAGCTTTGTCTTATTAAGTTTTATCCCCCCTCATGAGAACAATGTTGGTATTTCTGTGAATATGAATGTGAATACCTAGGACGATTAGGAATTATGCTTTCTCGTATGACGTGTATGACACACTCATAAACGGTGAAAATTGTTCTGTGGAGCGGAAGTGAAGTATGAAGTGTGAAAGAAACCAACAGCTTGGTAGTTAATGAAAAAATGTATAAACGTATAAATATATATATCTATATGTATAAATATATAACGAACAAATATTACACCGGGTATAATGCTGATTCCAACGAAACTAGAAATAAATCAATGTAAGGAATTATACTAGAAATTATTTTTATCCAAGGCTTTGGTAAGTGGCGGTGTGGATTCAACTGTTTGTGCAGCATTGCTTCACAAGGCAATTGGACCTAATCGTGTTGTTGGTGTTCACATTGACAAAGGATTTCTTAGAAAAAACGAAAGCACACAAGTCGTGGAGTCGCTTTCCAAAATAGGACTTAAAATGAAAGGTAACTGCTTTAGTTTCTCAAAGATAAATTAGTCAGCCTAATAGAAAGAAACAAAAAAGGTTTACTTTAAATATGATAAGAATCCAGTTGTTGTCTCATTTTACATTAACCAATTAATGTTTGTTAGAATATTCGCCCTTCTAATTGCAGTTGTTTTTCCTTTAAGATGCCTATTTCTTGTTTGCCTAAAACATAGAATAATCGCGTTATTGGTGCGTCTTTTTTTGTTTCCAAAGTTGTAAATGCACAGCATACGTTCTATAATGGATCAACAGAAATAACTCTCAAACGCAATGATATAAACATTCGCCAAAATACTGGGCCACTTCACAGCGTTTCAAATCCGGAAGAGAAACGAAAAATCATTGGGGACATGTTCGTTAAGGTTGGTTTCTAAAACTTTAAGTTTATACAACCATGTCTTTGCATTTAACCGACACGATGTTCCCACCTTTTAGCAAGTGTGCTCATCTTTTCGTCACATGAATCTTTTTTCTATGTCGTCTAGTTTCTTTCAAAGGCAACCGATGAGTTTATGTAAAGTGGAAAAATGTATCTTGGAAAAAAACGGTAGATAATAAACGGTAAATCGGAGATAATTGCTATGCTTAATATGATTTTCGAGTCTTTTGATTAACACTTGTAACATGTTTACATTTTTAAGATGAAGCTGATCAAACATAGTATATAGCTAGAATAGATTTGTGTTGGAAAAAAGACGAGAAAGCATCTGAATGCATAAAGTTCTAAATATCCCGGCAATGGCTTTAATTTAAGCCCCAACTAGGCCTGATGCTGCAGCACAATAGGGCTTATTATTGAGTCTAAGGCGTAGTTTAGACAGCGCGTTATGGGCGCAGCGAATTAAATTCAATTAGATGCGCTCAAAATGCGCCCGTAGAGCGCTTCAATTTATTGTTTGCTTTTAGACAGCGAAGCGTGTTGAATTGATTCATTTTTTGATTCGTAACGCGCTGATAATGCGCCCAAGTGAGCGCATTATGAGCGAATTCAATTATTTGCTTCGCTCTTGGATTTAGTCAGCGAATTAAGAGCGCATTAAATTGACACTCACAATATTTTATGGTCAATAATTTGATTCGCTGCGCCCATAAAGCGCTGTCTAAACTACGCCTAATTAGTTTAAAGAAAGCTCTCGTAGGCTGATAACCACCTAGCTGCGTTTTTATCACATGGCTTAATTCTTCACACAGGTTATGAATGCGACAATCAGAGATCTTAATTTGGATCCAAAAAGCACAATGGTTGCTCTTGGTAAAGTTAATAAATCTTTGACATGTTAACATCTATTTATTGAAAGGCTGCGAAAAATGAATCATACAATGCATTGATTGCAGGCCCTAACCAACATTAAGGAACTCTAATTATTGCGCACCCGATTACTTCCAGATAATCTCAGCAATGCGATTTCGGAAAGCTTAAATGTAAACTACAATCACGGACGGAATTTTTGAGACAAAATGCAGTTTTTTTCAATTTTCTAATTTCATTACCCCTGTTAATTCGAATCCCTCCTTTTCCCCCGAATCAATGCTGGATTTGAATATCACATCTTCTTCCAAATAATGCATTCAGAATTGAATTGGGGAAGGGGGAAGGGGAGTTGTCTTTCAAAGAGAAGGAAAAATATCAACTTTGCTTGAAATTTTCAACTATTTTTGTCCGGATGTATAGATGTGCATTCTGATATCCTTACTTCGCATTTTACGTGCAGTAAGCACATGCTAGCTAGATGTCTTATTGTTTTCTTTTAAAGCTAAAATATGTAATCTCTAGACCTCTAACAAATATGTAAACATTTGAATTACCTAAGATGAAGAGGCAGGCTTGCAATTTCATGCTGAGTTGTGAGAGAGCAACTTGCGGATAGATAAACGAGCTGAAATGTATATTGAAAGCTTGGGAAAGAAACCGTTGTTATTTATTGGTTTTAGAGATTGAGATTAGGCGGCAGAGAACAGGTTTTTAAAGTTTACTTCTGTTTAAAATCATGAAGCTGTTTATATTGCTCAATTGTTTAGGGACCACTCGTCTGAATCTTATCGAAAGTGGTTCAGCTCTAATCAGCAGAAGGGCTAGCAAAATAAAGACACATCACAATGACTCTGAGATGTTTCAAGAGCTGCGTCATCAGGTTTTTCCTAAAATATCATGCAAATTGATCACTTATAAGTATTAGATTTTGCATTTTGGATAATCATTTTAGATTTCTGTTTTCATTGATGTACTTAAGTATGGAAGCTTTTATAGTTTTTACTCAATTCAGTTTGCTGATGTTATCCCTCTCTCTCCATAACAAGCAAGATACTGAAATGCTTGCTTTGATCTTTTTTTGTCTCTTGTCAGCTTAACAGGACCTTAATTTTATTTTGAAGTTTTGTAGCTGTTGCTGAATAATTTTGTTGTTTAAGCGAGGTTGATGTAAAAAGGCAAAAAACGTTATCAAGGATTTATTTCTGGTATGGGCCTATTGCAGATTCACGAATAGCACCAACAAAACTCTGTCGCTGTTGTGCTGGGAAGAGAAAGGAAATTTTTGACAATTTCAAAATATTTAGGGACGACTTGTCTTGGCAAACTCGGTCAATCTGCAGTAAAATGGTTTAAAGGAGCCGCACCTTGAATCTCAAACTTTGGGTCAATAGGCATAAATAGTTTGAATTTAAAATTGTGTGAAAATAATAATGATTTGACTTATCTCATTTTGTACAGGGGCGTGTTTTAGAGCCTTTAAAACACCTTCAAAAGGATGACGTTTGTAAACTTGGCAAGAAATTAGGACTACCTTCAGATATCGTCCAGCGACATCCTTTTCCTGGTAAGGTCTTTTTTTTAACAATCATTTGTATATGTTTCTAGCATTAAGTATTAACACAATTAATCTATGTGTTAAACTTGTGGATCCAGCTTATTGTACGGGGAAATTGAAATGCTCACACAATTTCACCATTTTTTGAGACTACTTGCTTTGGAATATTCTTCGTATCAGGCTGCACTTTAAACAAATTTAAATAAGTAAGAAAACAAATAAATAAATAAACAAATTCAAGTTTCATCGATAGCTATTAACTAAAGTCTACCACTGTTTCCTTCCTAATCGGCTATGCTATTTCCACGCTTTTTTGACTGCAACTTAAGGAGAAACGTGCATGTTTTGTTTTTGCAGGCCCTGGATTGGCAATTCGTGTTTTGTGTGCAAATGGACCATTCATGGGCGACGATTTTGAAGATACTAACACCAAACTTGGATTGATCGTAAATTACTGCATTGCAGTCAGCAAAGTATTGTACATTTTTCACTCTTAATTCGCTTTACATTAAAATAACATAATGCAGCCACGATGACAAAACAAAAATTACTCATGATAAAAATTATCTGTTTGGCCGTTTTGACATTTCCAAACAAATTCATTTGGTTGCATTTTCTTTTTTCAACCTTGTTCTATCTTTGTTCTTGAACAAGACTAAACATACCTACATAATACGAAGATGAGACTGATTCTTGTCTCAGATGATTAACGAAATCTTCCAATCACACCCTGTTTTTTCGATAATATCAAATCGCACTGTTATCTTAACAGTTTTGATCAACTGCCTTTTTCAAGACTTCTTATTTTATGTTTAATATAGAATAAAATTATGTTCAGATTTCACTGTTTTGCATCTATTTTCTGCTGCAACGGAATGCCTATACATTTGATAAAAGAAAAAAGGCTTTGAGGCATGTTATTTAAATACGAAGGAACATAACTAGAGATTGTTCAAGCTTATTCTGCTTCATATTTCATTTTACCCTCTTTGGACCCTCCTTCTTTTTACCACTTAATACGTGTTTTTGAGTCATATGATGTTTCAGATATTAACGAAGACTTGCACTCCATTGATTGGTGCTCATTGCCACATTTACTTCCAAAGTATTTACTTTTCTATTTTAGTTTTTTACTTCATTATATTTATTAATTTGATTAAGCGTTGCTAATTTGGAATTCCAATTTACAGCGCCATCCTTTACTGACTGAGATACAGGAACAGCTAACTGAAGAGGAGCTAAAAACGTTGAAGGAAATAAGCTCAAAGTTTTCTGTTGGGGCGACGCTGCTTCCTATTAGATCAGTTGGGATTCAGGTGAGATTGAATACCCTATGACAATTAACTAAATTGAGGAAGAAAACTTTGGTTTACGTTGTAAAAAACATTCAACAGAGGCGAAAACCGGTTAATTTTTTAAGCCCGCTTTGAAGAACCTAACAGCAATCAGATGATTATTCTGATTATTTTGAACTTAACAGTTAATTATTCTGATTATTTAGAACTTAACAGTTGATTATTCTGTTTCGAGTTATATGTCTCCTGTCACAGCCCTTCAACCATATATTCTAGCTGACGGAGAGAAACTATGAATTGAATTCGATTGCTCTAGTGGTCCCTCTTGTTTCTTTTTTATAAATAACGGATTTTTTATAAAGGAAACTCTGACGATACTTATCGAGTAACCTTCACTCTTTGTTATTAGGGTGACTGTCGCACATACAGTTATGTTGCTGCAATCTCAAGTGACTCTCCACCTTCATGGTCATCACTTATGGTATACGCAAAAATTATACCAAAACTTTGCTTTAACATTAACAGGCAAGTAATCATTAGGTATCTCCAGGCTGACATCGTGCACCATATGGGGTAAAAAGTAAAGCTGATAATTATGTAAATAAGACATCAAAGACTGTACATTTATTTAGCTCGTTTTGCTTACAAATTTATTGCGAAGCATGCACAGTAAACTGTAAATTTCTGGTTATCTTCTACTCAGGGGGGGATCTAGGAAATTTCCTGACCGGTGCTCAGTTCAAGGGACCACATCTAATAGATTTTCCACCCCCTTGTTTTTACTTTGGCAATGTTAAGTAAACACGATGGGCTATATAGACAAGAAAAGTAGTGTACAAAATCAGAAAATGTTTCTTTCCATGAAAATTCAGCAAATGTTCTACGTATTTAGTAAATTCTTTGCTATGTTCTATACTCCAAAAGGTATCAGGGATATTGGGTTAAATAATTGATCAATAGCTTCAGAAAAATGTTTCTTACCACTACATATAGCTAATGTCAAGAAACTTTGGACTAAAAAATTTTATGAGAGTTAAAACACTTAGTTGTATCCAAATAATGTATTATCTTTCTATTGCAGAGTTGTTTACCTTTTCGGTTCGAGATTACTGCATCAACTACAAGAAGTTACTCCGACTTTTCTAGTACCGAACGTTGTAGACACATTGCGCAAAATAGATTATCTGGCAAATGCAACTTTGCTAGAGAATGGTTAGTACCAGGGTTAGTTTTTGGTAGCAAAAATAGAAATATATTTGCTGTGAGGAGGAAATTCGTGTCGACATTGTCATATTAGATAGGTAGGTTTGCTTAACAGAGAGTAGAAATAGGCAACTATCGGTTCCAATTCTGTATCAGCTACCTCTCCTGGGGGAAAATGTAGTCGGAGTGTGCTAAATGTAAAAATTTGTGCTTCAGAACACTTTTATAAAATTTCTGCTACTTCTCTGTGCTCGGCATCACCAGCTTCACAAGTTCATGATGATGAAGAGCATGGTATAATAATCATATTAATTATATAAAAACACTACGACCATCATTGGTTGGTATTTTTCTGTTTTGTTCTAGATAAGATGAATTGTGTCAATCAAATGCCAATAATTCTTGTTCCATTACACTTTGACCGCGATCCCACTATGCGGCTGCCTTCATGCCATCGATCTGTGGTAATACGGATGTTTATTACAAATGATTTCATGACAGGCATCGCAGCAACACCCGGCAAGCAGATACCTGAAGAGGTAAGTGTATTTAATTCTTGTTACCTTAATCTTGCTAGGCTAGACGATTTGAAATGGGGCTGTTATCAATTAAAAAACTGGTAGATAGTTTCTCAGGTGAAGCTTTGAAAAACACCAATTCCCAACAGATGTTTTTGATTCTTAAAATTGAAAGAAAATTGGCACTTCGCGACATGTGTTTTTTAGATGCATGTGCTATTAAACCTAATCCTAACCTGTTGGAATTTGTAGATACCGCACTTCAAGCAACATGGTTATACAATATTTAGAGAGTTGTATATAGGAAATGTAATTTTTGAAATAGTGTTTGGTTCACTTTCGTAACCCTTTAAAAAAACATTCATATCCATTATTCATCTTATCGTTTTATATGGATACCTCATCTACCTATTAAGCTTCAAACAAAATAACGAAAAGCTTTTACCAGCTTTTACCTATTGCCTTTTCAACTAGCCGGTGCAATGGCATTCAATCGTTGGCATATAGCTAAGTTTCACACGAGTGCTTAGCAACTCTCTTTCATCAAGTTCATTTATTGCCATAAGCATAACTGCATCAGGCTGTTATTTGCGAGTTTTGTTACGTCCATATGGTCGTGATCCCGGTGGGTCATCTCACACTATCAAGTGTAAGCAGCCGTAACTAAAGAAAATTTATACCCTTTTTCATGAAATCAAGTAGTTGAAATGAGGCCAAACAAAAAAAAATTAGAAACTTTATCAAGATTCCCATATAATTTACCCTTTTTTCTATTTTCTATGTCCTAGATATAAGATAAAATTGAACCCCTTTCTCAGAGATATTAAAGACACTGGTGCCTACACTTGACAATAAGAGTGGACCCGCCGGGGTCATGATAAAAGGATACTCCAGCAAGAAGATCACTGCGGAATACTGCAAAAAATGGCAATATGGTATAGCAAAACGTGTTTGAACTTGCGATATAACTTGCTGAAACCAACCATTATTTGAATGTGACAGGATGAATCTTTGGGGTCTTGAACGCCCACTTTATATCTTGCAGAAGGAGTTGTATATTGGTCAATTTATATCGGTGCAATTCTTATGAATATTTGGATATCTTAAGTGCGTTCCGTTCAAAAAGCCAATTGGATAGAAAAATTATTTGAATTTCTCTGTCCTAGCACTTATTCACGATTATCACGGCTTGCAAGGACGAGAGTGACTCAACCAAAGAGACCAGACTCTGATTGCAAATTTTGTCGCGATGGTTTCTGTCATCCAGTCATAGCTAGGGCAGAAGAGTACTGGACAGACCCCTGTTTTATAAAATGCTTTTACCGCAAAATATGATTGGTAGCATCCCCATATGATGGGGCTGCACATGGAGCCTAAACATTTCGTTTAGGGGATGTGTAAGTACAATGCTTGCCAGAAGTCTTGGTACACTAACGTCAGCTTCCAAGGGCAAATTCAGTCATTTCCCTCCCCCCTCCTTTGAACAAACACTAGTTTGCTGCAAAACGACGTAGGGGATTAGGAAGAACGCTTTTTCTGCGACTTCTTTGATATTTTTCTAAATCACCAACATTGTTTAAGGAGGAAGAGGGTGCGGAAATAGGAGTATCCGGGAAACAAATTGAAGAATATAACAACACAACGCAAATTGCTGGGTGTTCGAAGTACTTTTAGCAATAGTTTTAGGTATCTTGAGAGATATTTCAGAAAACAACTTTCTTGCTTGATTTTGAGCTGCCTAATGTAAGCTGAAAATGAAAGCTTTGAAGCAAAGATAAGCTCTGAAAGTTTATGGTCATAAAATTGCATCACTGGAACGTTATCAAAGTAATTTCTTGATGACGTCATGAAAGCCATTTTGCTTGTATCCTTGGGAAAATCAACCATTCGACAGCTTTTGTTTGGGTACCTTGGTTAAAGAACATCTTTCGATCATAGGCCGATCTTAGCAACTCTAGACCATGGCTCATATCATTCGCAGCTAAATTTGGGCCTCTTACTTTGATGAACAAAGGTGTAAAAACTACACATTTACACCAGCAGCTGAATCATTGCTTTACACGAGAAAATAAGGATCCTAAAATAGAACCTTGGGGTACTCCAGCTGAAATATCTTCCTAATCAGAAATGTTTCTATTCAGAAATGCTTGTGAAATGATCATGGCTCTAATTGTTTACATTTTAATGTTCGTGTCATTAAGGTGTACTTTGCTAAATGTTAAACATTGCTTCAAATGTAGTCCCTTGACTGGCGTTGTTTCAAAAGACGGTACCATTTTGATTTTGCTTATTGCTGTATTGTTGCAATGTTTTTGAAATTTCAATGCTAACATCTATACTTGCAGCTTATTATGAAGATTGTGGATAGAGTGAAATCTGTTCCTGGTATATCAAGAGTTATGTATGATTTGACTTCTAAGCCTCCTGGTACAACTGAATGGGAATAATCCATTTCCAAATTGTAAGTCTTACTTAAAGTTTGTTTTGGTATCTGATCATTTGCCTTAACATATTCGTTATTTCCCTAATTTTTCAAGTAATTGGTTGTTGTGATGCAAAACCGAACTTCAATTTTGCACCTAAAACTTAAAGCCAAACTTTATGGATCCGCTAGCTTTTTTGTCCGCTGTGAAGGGAGGCTATAGCTCATTTTTTTTGTAGATCCTTCTTTCAAAACATAATTTATAAATTTTAGGTTTCTTAACAGTCCTAACGTCGTCCTAAATAAATATTGTTTTCTGAATTGTTTTTATATTTCGTTCTACGTTTTAAATCATTTTACATCTGACTTGTATGTAAAGAATTGAAATAGATCACTGCAAGCAAATGTAAAAGAAATATTGACATTTGTAACATAAAACGGCGTTTAGTTGTTCATTAGTACTTGCTGCCTGTATTTTGGCTTATATGAGTGTGAGTTGGTATTTTTCTCACAATAACATATAACTGTCATACTTTTTCTATCAGAGCCGAATTTTGTATTTGCCACATTTCAGTCTGTATATATGAGTTGAGAACACCTTTCTATTCATGTACAGCTCAAAGAGTGCAGAAAAAAACAAAAGATTTGAAGATGTTCAAATTGCATTTATACAACCATACTACTTACTATTCTTCAAGAAAAGTTAACACAGCTCTGTCTATAAAGTATTGAGCTGTATAAAGCAGACCAATTAACAGTAATGGTAATATCTAAGGTGTGCTTAAAGCGCTTGCATAATTGTCATATTTTTGAATGACTTTGAATGGATTGATAATTAGTGCTTACATGTTTTTTTGTCTAATTCCTATCTGGGTATGATTATAAGAGTGCAAAATATACTTGGCCGAATTCACAGCTTTCACTAGACTTTTAGATGAATGGTTTGGGGAAAGTGTTCATCTCAATTTTTTAAAAACATAATAAATTTGTAGCAAGGAACCTTAAGTTGACTTTAATACAGAGTTCAAGTTTTGTGTATAAAGTGCACGGGAAGTCAGCTTTCGTAATCAGATAAGGACTGAAAAGATAAAGTCTTGAGAAATAATTGGCGCACTTGCATGCGAGGCCCCTTAAACGCTATGCCCTCGTGTCGAACAGTAATAAGGGCAGATCAGTGTGCAAGAGCCAAGACTTTTCTGTAAGCTCATCAACAATCATTCAAAACCAGTGAACCTGTGCTGTGCTGATGGGAAACTTAGGGGCACAATTATAAGTAAAGAGCCATAGGGGCTATTGTAAAGAAATTATCAAAAGCAAAAAGCGAAAAACAGTTTAGCTTCAAAAACCTTGAGCTTAAGCTGGTGGGTATGCATTCAAAAACGATGTCAAAGAAGAGGGTCATTCTCAAAATTAACTTTCATTAGGAGGGAGCTTGACTGGTACACAGAATTAATTATATGAATAGAGCTAAAAGAACAGTGATTCTTAGCAAAATTCAAATCTTTCATTGGCCATATGTCACCCAATCTTAGACATGTTTGTCTGATTTTGCAAGCTTGGAAGTATTTCATGGTGTTCTTTTGTGTTATCTGGTTGAAATTTAAAAATTTAAAAAATAGTTTCTTGTGACGTCACACAAATGGCAATGTTTCATCTCGAGGCTTTATCAATATGGTCTATTGCATTTTCTTTCGGTGACCGGCCTACTTTTTCTAGAAAAATCTTTTGCTGACTTCATACCTACTTGCTGATTATTCAAAACTTATTTAAAAACTGATGCGAAAAATTTTATGCTATCAGAGCTAAATCCACCAATATCAAAAGGAGTAAAGAATATTATCGCAGGTAATAATGTTTTATCACTTTTGAAAACCCGATGGTTGCAAATTGTAAGTATTTCACTCTACGAGTTTGTACATTGTTATGGTTCAAATGCATTGAAAATTTGCGGCTATATTAGACTTACATCCAGTAGCCAAGTAGTTAGCTAATTTCACGTCATCAAATAAAACAACAATTGAAGTAATTGGAAAACAAAACAGCCGATCGTACAACCTTTTCAAGTCTTTCTACACAGATCGCGCACATGTGTAGAAATTTACCCTAAGAACATCCAATGAAGGGACAGTAGTTGATTGCTGACAATCTTAATACATTTTAAAGCAGCTTAACATTTCTGCTGTTGTCAAGTGTAGCAGCTCTTAAATATGTTCTAATTT